TCTATGCCCAGCTGGGGCTGACTCAGCCCCAGGACGCAGAATCAGAGCCTAGGCTGAGTCACCCCAGGCCTTATAAGCCCCAAGAAGACATTAGTGAGCTGCTGGAGAAAACCAACTACCTTGCTGCATCTCCTGGCCTGCTTAGAACCCTTTAAACCTGGGCCTTTTTCCAACCTGAATCCTTGCCTAGCTCCTGCCTGCTGTCAGCCAGGCTGTAGATGGTCACTCAGGAAATTACTGTAAGCAGGTCAAGGTCACACCACGTATCAGTCGAAATCTAGGACTTCAGGCAAAGGGTCAAGGCAGTATTGTAGTCAAAGTAGATCAGAGCTGAGAGGTCCAAACAGAGCAGGGGCAGGGACTGTCGTGAGGCTGAAATCAGGCAGCAGCAAACAGGAGCAGGGCAGAGGTCTAAGGAGTATACACACGCACGCACGCATGCACACACACACAAACAAGGGTGCTGGGACAAGTCCCACAGGAAGTAGGAAGGGTTTTATACCCCTCCCATCAGAGGCTCACAGTGCCTAGAGGTTCCCCCTGATACCTTGACTCCTTGTTAATATCCTCATGGGAGGAACTAGGCTGGGTTGGGGCTGCTGTCTGACCAGATATGTGGTGGTAATGAGGACCCAGCCTCTGTCTGCTGGCCCAGCCAACCTGGGTTTGAATCTCCGCAGTCCTAATGCCTAGCCACTCCCATCCTGTATTGCTCCATGCCTGCCTTGCCTCTTTCTGATTGTTCATGTTTCTGGCTCAACCAGTGGCTCTCATCAGCCATGAACCTATCATGATCCTGGCTTGATATCTTGGACTCTGATACCCAGCTTGATTTCTGCTCTCGTCACATACCCCCTTAGACCCATGTCCTGGGTCTAACAATCAGGTATGGCTGGGGGGAGGGAATCAGAGAGAGGCATTGGGGCTTAATTTGTGGCATGCTGCTAGTCAAAAAGGTTGGCCACCCGCTGTCCCAAACCACACCAGAGCCATTGACATAAACCTTATTAAAGATGCAACAAACTTCAGAACAAAATCTTCAGAAAAAAGGAAGTTGCACCTTATGTATCAATCATCACAGCCTGGTGAATGTCAAAGCCTCTGCCTCCCAAGTGAAGGGAGAGGGATATTGAAAAGAATGGGGTGACAGAGAACATTATCTAGGCAACAAAATGCCTCCCTTTGATAAATGCTATTTAAAAAAAATTGACATATGCATGGAAACCTAAGGTGAGTCAGTGCAGCAGAAGGAAAGATAGTTAATTGTTAGGCACTGTTGGGGGAGGAGGGGTGATTCTGATTATTATTTTCTGAAGATCCTGGAGCAAGCACTGTCCACATGTATAACACAGTAGGAGTGTGTAGACTGAGCTTTGTAGTTGATTCAAGAATACAAGTTTCCATGACTTCCCTGAAGTTAGGACTCTAAATAAGTGAAGTTTAGTCATGCTGGGCTTGCTACAAAGTCCACCAAACCAGTTGGCTTTGAAACAGCCCCTCTTTGTTCTTCATACAATTGCTGTCTATACACTATATGATTGAGCTGATTCCAAGTTTGCTCGTTTCTGTGCTGGAAACCTCAGAACTCCTAAGAAATCTCAGTTCTGGGGGGTTGGGGAGCAGGGAGGAACAACTCTGAAATTGAGGTTATTGGGTAACATACTTAATCCTTGAGGCAGCCATGGTCAAGATTTTTAAGAGAAATATGATTTTGCATGTGCAACTTACAATACCTTAAAGAACCCCAATTTATTTATTTGTTATATATAGCACTTACTTTCTGCAAACCAGTGTCTCATGGTAGACGTGAAAAGATTAACACATGCAGAATCACTAGTTACTTTCGAAAAATCTTAGCACAGGGCCAAGACCAGTAGGTATAAACATACTTAGCTCACTATCTGACCACTCTCGTAAATCTAGTCCACGAAGGGAGACTTGCTTAAATTTAAAATGACTAGATGGTCAAGAGAAACCTTCTAGCTTCTGATTGCATGTTAACCCTTCTGACACACATGGCATTCTACACCTCTTTGCTTTGGTATTATATGGACTCATTTTACAACATTGAGAAATTAGTCCATTATCTGGTTGAACCAAATTTGTTCACAATTACTTATATCTATTTGTAATGTACAAAATGCTAATTTGTTGCTGTCACAGCCATGTTTATGTTGAAATCTATAGTAAGTAAGTCCAGTGATTCTGTAATTAAATCAACCTTCAGCCTTTAAGAAGGCTTTAGCTTTCATGAGACTGCATTGTCTCCAGGGATATGCCAGCAAATATTTTCTTTTAGGCTGAAAGGACAAAAAGTATTTGCAGTCTGTTCCTGCTCATTGTGCTTCTGATGGCCAAATAAAGCACACTGAAAGTATCATTCACATGGCCATACAAATTACTAATAGCATTATACTACCTGTATCATTTCATCAGAATTAAATATAAATGGGTCAGAAAGCCTATTCCAGATAGATACGCTTTGCAACTTTGTTCTCCTTGGAAACAAATAAGTTTATTAGCTGTAGCTGTAATACAGTATGGTTTGTAATTAGCAAATTATAGGGTCCAAAAAGTGTAATGATTCTACAAGGGTAGACAAAGATTCAGCACAGGTACCTCCCATTAGAGACACGGAGAAAAACAGAATGGAGAAAGGGATCGTCCTCACTGTCATTACCAGAAGCCTGTTCCTCCTCATAGCATACCCTCTTGATCCAGGATACCCTGCCATTTTAAGCTGTAATATTATCAGATCTCATGAACTCAGCAGGATCAGATCTGATCTGCTCAGTAATAAGATGTGGCTTTTACAAAGCCACTCCAGTGTACTTCACCAATGATTCAATGGGCATTCTGTTTTTTCTGCAATTCACCTGGTGCTAAGGGCACTGAATTGCTGAAAGATTGCATAGTCTTCTCTCCGTCAGAACCCCACACCTCAGCCGGCTCCCTGGAACTGTGGAAGATGTGAAACCATGACCTTACCTCCTCTCCACTTTCTTAGGACTATTTCTATCCATGGAGTCATAGGAGGAAACAGTCCCTGCATTTAACCCCCAAACCCAACCCTTCCCCTTGTAAAATTAGGTAGAAATAAAAACTGCCTTAAAAATAATAAGAAAACTTTTGGTTTTGGGGTGGACCATACGATCAGTATCCCCAAATTCTGCTCCATAAATAAAATAGACTCTACCTTGAATCTACAGAACCAGATCCTCTCTTTTACCTGTTTTATTGTAAAAAGATAAAATTCCTCCCAAACCTTGTTTTGCTCTAGTATTTATATTTTCAGTGGGCTTATTCTAGTTCAAATTTTTGCTAAAGTAGATTCCAAAGTATTTAAAAGAAGACACTACCTTTAGTTCCTATTCCTGTAAAAATCAAACTCCTTTCATTCTCAAAAACCAATACCTTGGTTTTATCTGTGTTAATTTCTAAGCTATTTCAATACTGCTGAAAAGCATCTAGTAACCTTAGGAGGAGGCCTATTCGAATTTGTGAGATTATTAATGCATCATCTGCATAAAGCAAGACAGGTCATTCAAAATCATGGGTGTGTGGGATTGATATCCTGTCAGCACCTGTTTTAGATCATTCAAGAATAAATTAAAAGGTAGCAGAACAAGCAGACATCCTTGTCATACCATTGTCTTACTGAACAGGGAACCCTCCAATCCCATAACACACCCTAGCTACTCTGTTTGAATAGTAAGAAATGTTTAATTGTAAAAGAGCTTTATCCATGTAAGTTATTGCCACTTCCATAATTTTACTTTATCTGTGGCAGTGGTGTTCAACCTTTTGGTGTGGTAGGCAGGAGCGGTGCAGGGCCTCTCTATGAGCTGGACTGGAACCCACATTCCAGGATCAGGCCCTGTGAAGTCTCCTGGGGGCCCTGCACTGCCTTCTTTGGTCCCCTGCCACCAGATCAAGGCACCACACTGCCTCCCTACAGCACGACACCACCTCCCTTAGTGCCCTGCCACCAGATTAGGGCCCCATACCACCTCCTTCTGCCTGGCACTGCCTTCCAGGATTTGCACCACCTCTCTCAGCTCTACAGTGCCTCCCTTGCCCCGTGCTGCCTCTTCTGCTTGGCCTTGCACTGCAGGACCAACCCCTATACCACCTTCAGACAGCCCTTTTGTGCCCAGATCAAGCCCTGGGCCCCAGAGCACCTCTGTACACTAATAATCATCATTAGGGATCTATTTAATTTGTGGCAAGACAAAGCAATTTTTGCAGCTTGGTCACAGCACAAAGAGCCAATTTTGTGGGCATTTCCTGCAGGCCCTGCCCCTTGCTGCTGATTGTCGGAGAGCCATATATCATATAATTTAATAGCAAATTCCACAGAAAGTTAATTATATTATATAACTTATCATATTATTATAAATATCAATATTAAATTTAAATCTAAATTTAAACATATTATGAATATAAATGTATATATTTATGAATTTTAACTTGTATTATTATAATTATTATATGCCGCATTCTACAAAAGTTTAGAAATAGTAATTAATGCTAACCTTAATAGAAATAATTCATTTTAGTTGTTAAATACTAGCATGCAGCATTCACCATCGGCTGAAGCTGACATCCTCTGTCTCTGTGATGCGAAGATTTTTCCAGTCATTAAGATCGTATTTTCTCCATCCACTGAATTGGTTGTAGTTGTAAGGCAGCATTTTGACAAGTTGTCTAGATGTGGGAACCAATCAGAAACAGAATCCCAAAACTCAGTTACATTCAAAGGCATCTGGCATGCTTTGACAAATTCATATAAGCAGAGCATTCATTGTCATGCTCTTTCAGGCATCCAGGGATTGATTTAATTAGCTGAGGGTCAAAACTCAGAAAATGCACCTGATTTGGGTCAAAAATGTGAACAGCACTAAAACAAAGTAGGTAGTCAGTTGTTTAAATCAAGGTGGTAGTGACTAATCACACTTGTAGTACAGATTTAATTTTACAGCTATTGCCTAGAACAGTTGTCTCTGCTGGTTTTTCAGTTTGACAGCCTGAAAGTTGTTGCGATGTCATATCTTCTACCCAGTTTATCACATCCATCAGTTTGTTGCATGCTCGGTGAATCAAAACCTGCCAGCTTTCCAACCAGAATAGAAACTCCATGAACCAGATCTTATTTTCAGCCACAGGACTTGATCCTCTGTTTCGCCCTGTTTTAAGAGATTGCATAGTTTAACCATGCACTGTATGCCAGATTTGATCTCATAGTTTCATAGTTTCTAGGGTCGGAAGGGACCTGAGCAAATCATCTAGTCCGCCCCCCTGCCGTGGCAGGAAGAGCACTGGGGTCAAATGACCCCAATAAGGTGGTCATCCAACCACCTCTTAAAAACCCCCAGGGTGGGAGCCTGCACCACCTCACTTGGAAGCTGGTTCCAGACCCTAGCCGCCCTCACCGTGAAGTAGCGCCTCCTGATATCCAACTTAAACCTTCCCTCCGCCAGCTTGTGACCGTTGCTCCTGGTCACTCCTTGCGGCGCTCGGGGGAACAGGGACTCCCCCAGCGCCTGCTGATCCCCCCTAACCAGTTTATAACAGGCCACAAGATCCCACCTCAGCCTTCTCTTTTGAAG